CTAAAGTCAGCAGAAAAGCTCATACTGGCTTCAGTGATTTGGATCCAGATGGTAAAGTACATGCTTTTAGCAGAAGCTCCTAATTCTTCTTCGTTGCCAGTAAGGGCCAAATTTTCCTCTCAGTGAAGCCTATGTAAATCCCCAATTCATGGGCATTGCTTAGGATCTGTGCTGGTAAAAATAAAATTGGAACCTATTGCTCCCAATTGTACCCCCTCTTCTCCATGATGTTAAAAGGCACCCTCTTTTATGGCTTGTTTCTTGATGTAATGGGAAGGCTGTCATCTGCTCCCTTCCATTGGAGGGAATTAGCATTGAAAAGTCATTTTTAGAATCATCAGTAAGCATCAGTGAGTGAGGCTTCAGCTAGCATAATTTCAGACTTCTAGCGCTGAAAGGTTTTGAGTATCATGTTTATTTGTGTAGCCAAGTCCTTTGTCACAGATACTCTCCGTGATTCTAAATAAAGATATATGACTTCCTTGATTTATTATGAAATACATGCATTTTCTTCATTTGGAAATTGCTACTATATCCAGAAATTCTGATTTTTTATAGCTGCCTCTTGGATAAAATAATGAATGAATTTGCCAAGGCAGAATATAATTGATTGTGCTTGACTTGCTAGGTAATGGTATAATATAGTGTGACTTGACCTGCTGGTGCAGAACATAATCAGTATGCATGCTTTAGCTGGTGGAAAACATAAAATAAACTGCTTAGATTATTTAGTGAGAACCCAGTTTGCTTAGAATGACTAAAGCACAACATACGGCTTGCAAATGAAAAGTATGAACTTCAAAAATAAACATAAAAATAAAGCTAAGGCTGAGACTAAAATGTAAAACAGAACCCCTCCTAACTAAGAAATAACTGAAGTTGTACAAAAGTTCCAACCCCTTGCACCCGGACGGCCAGCCCTGAATTTGCCAGCACCAACTGGTGTCAGCGTACCCATGACGGAGAACGGCTATCGCAGTCTCTGACAGGGCAAGGACCGTCCTGTTACTCGGAACATTAAATTTCCTCCATGTTGTGCCGAGACATCCCTCCCTACAGCATCTCTCACATTTGTATCGCATCCTGCTGTCTGGTTCCAAAGCTGTTTACTCTCATGTCTATATACAGAAAGCATGGGTGAAACCCAACCAGCAAAGCAGCCCCTCGGCTCTGCTGCGCAGGCTCGTTCCCCACTCCCGGGGGGCACTGTGGACTCCTCCTGCCTGTGTGGGGTGGGAAAGAGCCCCTGGCTTTAGTACTCCTGGGAACACTGAAGTTCATAGAGATGAAGTAATTAAGGCAAAGCTCAAACCAAAAGATGAGTTTGAAAGGCCAGAGGTGAAGATGAATGTGGTAGGACAGGATAACATAGTAGTAATAATAATAATAAAAACAACAACAATAATGATAATGATAATCGTCTGTTAAGTTTTAGGACTCTGATGGCCTTTGTTTTTCAAAGTAGGAGATAATTTAATTGTGCTGAAGATGAAGGTGAAATGAGCTAGGAAAGTTTTGAACAAAATTGTATAAAGTATATCAATATGGTAAGAATTTAAAAAAAAGATTGAAGATATGCAGCTGTATATGTAAAATGCTACAGCATTGGTCAATATTCAGCCACCGAAGAGGCCAGACACATTTCCCCATCCACTGGAATATCTGGAATCAATTATTGATTACAGAAGAACTAAAAAGAGCACTTTTATTTAAGGGATGCAGATAATTTTAAGAACGATGCACTACAATATAGTCATCTACCTCAAATTGAAAGTCACAAATCATTACATTTTAATTAAATAGCATCTTGAACAATTAACACATCACCGGCATTGTGTCAACTTAACATGCTGTATTTCTAGCTTCCACGGGCCCGGGAACTGTTCAATGCGCTACAAAGATACCTGTATGTGGGGTAAGAATATAAATGTAGCTGTTTATAAACTCACTGTCCTGTGTGTCATAATGTTGCAAGTCTGTATTATAAAAAAATGAAATGCTAACGAATCAAAACACTTCAAATGCAATCTTCTCGTTGGTTTGGTTTCAGAGGCTCTAATGCCCAGTTAAACTCATTTCCTGCGTTTTCCATGGATTTTCATAGATTTACCGCTATAGGTGCAATAAACCTGTCTGGTGATAAAAGTAGCAGCACAGGGAAAAAAATCATAACTGTTTCTTGAAAGCCTCATAAAACTATATTCTGCAAGGGGCACTAAACCACTCAGTTGATACTAATTCAGCATAAAACCATTTGCGTCCCAGTGAAGTGGGGCTGTGCCCACTGGCTGTGCAGCAATACGCAGAAAGAGCTGCGTGTCTGAAGGCTGGGAATGAAACAGCATTTTAAAAGCTAGAAAACAAGCAAGTGTACACAGTCTTAGGAGGGGAATTCGTTTAGATCATGTAATGTTAACATATTAGACTTCATTACCGAGTGCAAGTTGCACATTTCACAGTTCTACTTCCTCATGTAAAATGATACCTGATAGGAAACCAGAAAGAAATGGAGGAGGTGATCTGACTAAGGATAAACACATGGTAACTAAAGAAGTAACCAGATAATTAAGTGGGCTTTTAAATCTGGATGATCTCTGAATACAGCCTCTCTTTTCAAATTTCCTCTGCAATGTAAGTTTGAAGGGTATGAAAGGAGACACTTGAAAGGAGCTCGGGAAGTTGATATTGCATTTCAGGTAAAGGCCCTTCCACAAAGTCCTGACAAAGGTCTTCTCCTTATCAGCACTTCAGCTGGGAAGAACAAAGGAGAGACACACATGAGTTACATGGATTGCAGGATGAGTACAAACCACAAAAGGAAAGCACTGATGAAAAATGTAAATACAGTCTTACTATCTATGGGGTAACAGGCTTCCCGGAGAAATGCAGAGACAGGAACATTGCACCAGGTGCTGGAGGGACCTTTCCTGCTTCTCGAGTTGAAGGGACTATCTCAGGAAGGATGAAATCCAACCCGATGAGATGCAGAGAAGAGCTTGCTCTGATTAGTGAACTAGAGGCTGAGAGAGGATATGATTCTATGACTGGTCTCTATTGATGCACCAATGGAGTAAAATGCTAAGGAGATGGGGCATTCTTGATGCTAAGGTATACCCTTGGCAGAAAGACGAGTGGACCAAAACTAGCCACAAGTAAATTTATGCTGGAAATAAGGTTGTAACTGTTGGAGTAGTGATAGTCTGAAACAGTCTCCCAAGGACAGCAGTGGAGGTAAAAAACCAAAATAGGCTGAAGTTCGATAAATGTTTGTGAAGAAGACGGGATGATACAGTTAACTGCAGGAGAATGAGATTTTCAGTTTTCTAATCAGATGAGTAAGGGACAGAAGGGACCACCAGCCACTTCAGAGGTGGAACTCAACCAGTTTATCAGGACAGATGATGAGAACTTGCTTTCAACGAAAAAACCTTCCAGTTCTGAGCTTTCTTTTCTTGAGCACTTTTTCAGCATAGGTCTTAAAGGAAGGCCAAGGTGCCACTGTGTTCGAGAGCTGACATGCACGTACAGAAGGAAGAGAGGGCATCAATGCAGTTGAAAATTCTGCCTTCCTGGCTCTGCTAATGTACCCAACAATTAGACACAGGGAAGAACTGAAACTTTTTATGTACCTTCTGCCTGTCAAGTGCCTGAAATTTAAGGTTTGCATTTACAAAATTGTCTTTTTTGTTTGAGGTTTTTTTTTTTCCAGCTTTGAGCAATGCTGAGCACAAAGCTGTCCAACCCCTGCTGCCTTTTGAGTCACTCCCTCGAACAGACTTTGATTTTGCTAACCACCACTGCCACTGTTTTCAGAATTAAATTTGTCTGTCTTTTACTGCATAATATAGCCATTTTTCTTAGAACTGGTGTACTAACATAACTAAATATATTTTGCTATGGGTATCAAATAATATTATTAGCAGGAGGTAAAAATTTACAGCCAATACCTAATGTCACTTTGGATTTGAAGCGTGAGGCAGAAAGAACGAGGAACCAAATCACCACGAGACAGAGCTGCGAAGCAGCAGACAACATTTACATTGTGTTCTCAATCAAATTTTTGTTTCTATACTTGCTTTTCTTCTGTCTGCAAAGTTCTTAAAGCCATAAAACCAAAATAAAAGGCAATAGTGAAAAACAATTTTGTGTTGGACTCAAGCTTTGAACTTTCACTGTCTTGTTCACATTCATTCAGGTACCATTAGTATCACAAAATCTGATTTGAGTGGGTTAGCTACTCAGAATTTTAAGGCTTTCATTTACACTCCTAACACTTCTCTGGGCCACCATTTTAGCTATCAAGTAACCTTGTTCTTATGAATAAATGATGACACAAAGCAATTGCCTCCAGCACCCTGATGCTACTTTCATATGATGGACACTGGGGGGATACTTGTGAATAATGAAGTGCCATTCCTTGCAATTGGAGACAAAATGTGTGCCTGTAAAACACAATGTTTTAAATAATAGAGGACCTGAGAGATAAAAGTTTAGCTTCAACACAAATCTGCCACACATTTTGGCATTTACGCTAACAGGCAAGCCATTGGTTTGGCTGATAAGTAAGGTGTAATTCATTGACAATTTTGAGTTATAAATTCAGAATTAGCATGAATGAAACAATCTTGTTCCCTGGCAAAAAAACCCCTATGGGATTTTTGGAAGAGTCCTTCCTTTCATGCTGCCACCCTGGGTCTGGTCACAGCAGCTGAAAGTTATCTCTGATAATTAAAATGAAATTAGTGATACAGTTGCTGATGAACAGGTACTCAAATCTTAAAACTCGTAATGATGAGAACAAATAAGCTCCCTTTAAAAACTGGAAATAATAAAATAAAATTGGTTTTGGTGTGGGAAGCCTGAAATAATAGAAAAAAAAGCTATACTTTCACTGTGTAGATCTAACAAAGCTTGGAGGCTTCTTTTGTTTCATTGTTTCTGCATTGGTGTTTCTTCAAACATACTGCCATTACCCAAATACATCTGTTGTTTCCACATACCTTGTAGTGGAAGAGGAATAATCCACAGAAGAGGCTGTACAGGTCAGCCGTCAGTAGGGAGAGGTTGACAGCAGTAGCACTGGTTTTCTTTATGACCACCGGCATAAAGCTGTAGAGGCCAAACATACAGGCACTAAAGCCGACGTACAACAAGCCTGTGGAAGAGAAATGAGAAGGAAAGTGACCTTCCATAGGCTGTAGAAATGACTCATGTTGGAGGAAAGAGGCTGTGTTTTTAGAAAAGGATGAAGAATGCTTCTTCAAAAAAACATGGATTCAGATTATTAAGATGCACATATGTATACAGACTAAGAGCATCATTCTAAATATATACGAAAACCAGCGAAAACCGTACCTATGCAGCAGTGGACACAAGGTCTGCTCTCTGTGGTCCCCATAATAGCAGTGCTGTTTTAATTTGGTGTCTTATACTACTAGTGAATACCTCATGTCCAACATAAATTTGGATGAAATGATGCACATCAAATCTAGTCTTTTAAGGAGCTGAATGTCTCCAACACCAACTGAGTTCAGCTGAGTTGGATGGAGCATACAATATTTTCTGGGAACAGACCCAAAAAATGCATGCAAAAGTATTTGCAGAGCAGTTAATGAACCAAAGGATGAATGCATGAGGGCAGCACTCAAGTGACAGAGGTCCTAGTCCTATTTTGACACCAAACCTGACAAATCACAGTTTTGCGCCTCTGTTCCTCTACCATTTTTTGTCTGCCTTCCTTAATAAAGCTTTCTGGAGCTGAGACTCTTTCTTGCTATATGCTTACAGAGTGCCTCACACAAATTAGATTGTTAGACAGTAATATAATAAAAATTCATTATAGTAAAAATCTAATTGCATTTAAAAACCTAAAAAACTTACTAGGAAAGAATTCATTGCTTCAGTTATTACTTGATAAATCCCAAGGCAAATTAATCAATATGAAGTTAAAAAAACAGTAAACACTTCACTCATCTGCTTTCATGCAAATGATATTTCTCAGGCTGCCATATGCTGCAGAATTCCCTGTTGATATGTGCACGAGCCTAAATTTAGACTCATGCCAGCTCTTCAGAGCATGTTGTTATTGACTAAAAGTGTCAGAAAATCTGATTCCCATAATCCTGAAAGAGATTAGAAAGAAAAAAAAACACCGAAACATCCATGTGATTTGTATCTGCTTGCGGACCCACTTAGTTAAAAACCCTTTAGAAAAGCTACCTAGAGGACAAAATCAGCCGTGATAGTCTGAGTCCTTTAGAAGCATCTGAAGTGTATGCTCATCTGAAACAAATACAGCAGTCACAAAATGTCAGTGTCCATACATCAAGTGTTATGGCATGATAATGAATTTGAATTTATAGTCAGAATATGGATAGTCACAGTAAGAACTGCTTTTACTAACCGGGAGCAAACTTTTATGATGTGCACTGTATATGTGTAACAACAGAATCAGTCTTAGGCAGTGCTTGAAAGAGTTACTTTATGCAAACTCTGCAACTCTTCTGTAGTAAGCAAATGATTGCATCAAATGGAGCGTAGTTTTGATCAATGAGAAATTGTTTGCATACCTGAGCATTAAGTCAGCTTTTCTTCCAGGCTTAAATCAAGAACAGGTCAGGCGCAAATGCCATTCCGGACCCAAAGTCAGCATTTGCAAAGTACAGTCTGCAAATCACCAGCTGGTCCACTGAGCCCCTGCTAGTCAGTCTGGATTTAACACACATATGCAGGTGCTTTGCTGTGTTCTGCTCTCAACTAACAGTATAATTTTATGATACTGCCTTGGTGTTCATATTCTTTGGCAGCCAACCACAGGCACTTCACAGGCTGCTTTTCCAAAGGGCATTTCAGTTCCAGCAGAAAATTGCTTAAACTGTAGCTGTCCTGTCAGAGGTGACCATAAAGTGGCATTTCATTTACATCTTAAAAGTACATGTAATACCCACCAGCTGGCTGGCATTTAGTGGTGACAATAAGCAAACTGGAAATAACAATATATGATTTTCAGATATTGCTTCTTAAAGGGCCAGTTTTCACACCAAAAATATGTTTTAAGTAAAAGGCTTGGAGCCTCAGCTTCCCTGGGTACCCCTGCAGTGCAAATGACAGCCTTGGGAATCACCACTAGTGCTGCAGTCCCAGGTGCTGGGACCTGCGTCTAACCAGGCACTGAGTCACCAGTACCAACTTGCCTGTAGCAGGCATGAGAAGAAAGCAACCTGGTAAGTTAGGAGGTGCTTTTGTAGTGATCTGCTGATCAGCTGGTCTGTGTTAAACCCTGAGAAGCTCATAATTCATAAGTGCTTTCAGATGTACTGGCATTATCCTGAACTGAAGGTTTAATGTGCATGAAGGCAGCTGTGGGTGGGATTCATTACCCCTAACTCTGGACACAGACTGAGGGTTGGTGGTCAATGAAGAGATTGGGAAATTTTAGGATGCAGATTGTTCAACCTCTTTTAGACACCACCTTTAGCATAATATGACTTGTGTCATGCCTGTTTATTGTTGCTGATGATCAAGGGAATCGATTTATCTAAATTGGATGTCTGCATCTCAGGTATCTGAAGTTGGTGGAAGGAATCCCGTCTTGCCTGTCTGTGTCACTCTGATGGGTAAGGCCACCAGTTTTGCCTGGCTGGGTGTGAATGCTGCATAAATGTCTAAACTGGGCACTGAGGATCCTAGGATTGTGGGGTGATTCAGGCTGGATGGTAGCTCAGAGGTCTCTAGTTCAAACCAGGCTCAGCTGTGAAATCAGACCAAGTTGCTAACAACAAGCTGTGGAATGCCACACCAAGGTTAGAGGGATGGGGTACTAGTGAGGCCCCTCAGCCTGTCGCACCAGAGAAAGACCTCAGAGGAGCTAAAGAAGGTTCCTCTAAGAGGGTGACATGGCCAACAGCCCAACTGAAGTGTCTCTACACCAATGCATGCAGCATGGGCAACAAGCAGGAGGAGCTGGAAGTCACCATGCTGCTAGAAAGCTCTGACCCTGTCACCATTACTGAAACTTGATGGGACGAATCCCACAATTGGAGTGTGGCTATCGATGGCTACAGGCTGTTCAGAAGGGATAGGTGAGGAAGGAAGGGCAGAGGCATTGCTCTCTACACCAAGAAATGGATAAAGTGCAAAGAGCTGTCTCTGAGGAATAGCCACAAGCAGGTTGAGAGCTTATGGGTAAGAATCAGGGACCGAGGCAACAAAGGGAACCTTGTGGTTAGTGTCTACTACAGGCCACCCGACCAAGAGGAGTCTATTGATGAAGCCTTCTCACTCCAACTACAGGAGGCATCACACTCACAGGCTCTCGTTCTGCTGCGGGACTTCAATCACCTTGACACCTGCTGGAGAAGTAGCACAGCAAGCTGTAGGCAATCCAGGAGACTCCTTGGAGTACATGGAGGATAACTTCCTGTGCCAGGTAGTAGACAGCCCTACCAGAGGGGATGCAATACTGGACCTGTTGGTCACCAACACATGTGAGCTAACTGGTGACGTCAAGATTGGAGGCAGCCTGGGCTGCAGTGATTATGCTCTGGTGGAGTTCACTGTCCTAAGGGATATGGGGCAGGAAAAGAGTAAAGTCAGGACTCTGATTTTTAGGAAAGCAAACTTCCAGCTCTTCAGGGAGTTAGTCAATAGGACCCCCTGGGAAACTGCTCTCAGGGACAAGGGACCAGAACAGAGCTGGCAGATCTTTAAGGATGCTTTGCATAGAATGCAAGAGCTCTCCGTCCCCAGCTGTAAGAAATCAGGAGAGGAAGGCAAGAGACCAGCATGGCTGAGTCAAGACCTGCTGGGCAAACTAAAGGGCAAGAAGGAAATGCACAGGCAGTAGAAGCAGGGACAGGTATCCTGGGATGAGTGCAGGCATGCTGCCCAGTTGTGTAGGGATGAGGTCAGGAGGGCCAAGGCATGGCTGGAGCAGAACTTGGCAAGGGATGTAAAGAATAAGAAGGGCTTCTATAGGTATGTCAGCCAGAAAAGGAAGGTCAAAGAAAGCATAATCCCCTTGATGAGCAAGACTGTCAGACTGGTAACAATGGATGAGGAGAAGGCTGAGGTACTCAGTGAATTTTTTGCCTCAGTCTACACTGGCAGTATCTCTTCCCACACCTCTAGAGGGGATGGACAGCAAGATGGGGACTGGAGGAGCAAAGTCCCTCCCATTGTAAGAGAAGATCAGGTTTGAGACCACCTGAGGAACCTGAATATGCACAAGTCTATGGGACCTGATGAGATGAATCCCAGAGTCCTGAGGGAATTGGATGATGTAGTTGCCAAGCCACTCTCCATGATATCTGAAAAGTTCTGGAAGTCAGGTGGAGACCCTGGACACTGGAAAAAGGGTAACATTGCACCCATTTTTAAAAAAGGGAGTAAGAAGGACCCTGGGAACTACTGACCCTTCAGTCTCATCTCTGTGCCTGGGAAGATCATGGAACAGATCTTCCTAGAAGCTCTGCTGAGGCACATGGAGGACAGGGAGGTGATTAAGACAGCCAGCACAGGCTTCATCAAGGGCAAGTCCTGCCTGACCAACCTAGTGGCCTTCTATGATGGAGTGACCACATCAGTGGACAAGGGAAGAGCTACCAATGTCATCTATCTGGACTTCTGAAAGACCTTTGTCACAGTCCCCCACAACATCCTTCTCTCTATATTGGAGAGATATGGGTTTGATGGGTGACTGTTGGGTGGATAAGGAATTGGTTGAATGGTCACATCTAGAGGGTAGTGGTCAATGGCTCAATGTCCAGACAGAGATCGGTGACAAGCGGTGTCCCTCAGGGGTCGGTACTGGGACCAGGACTCTTCATCAATGACATAGACAGTGGAATCAAGTGCACCCTCAGCACGTTTGCAGAGATGACACCAAGCTGAGTGGTGCAGTTGACATGCTTGAGGAACAGGATGCCATCCAGAGGGATCTGGACAAGCTCGAGGAATGAGCCCCTGTGAACCTCATGAGGTTCAACAAGGCCAAGTGTGGGGTCCTGCACCTGGGTCGGGGCAACCGCCAGTATCAATACAGGCTGGGGGAAAGAAGGGATTGAGAGCAGCCCTGCCGAGAAGCACTTGAGGATACTGGTGGATGAAAAGCCGGCATGAGCTGGCAATGGGTGCTCACAGCCCAGAAGGTCAGCTGCATCCTGGGCTGCATCACAAGAAGCATGGCCAGCAGGTCGAGGGAGGTGATGCTGCCTCTCTACTCCACTCTGGTGAGACCCCCACCTGGAGTACTGAAGTCCTCAACACAGGAAAGACATGGACCTGTTAGAGAAGGTCCAGAGGAGGGCCACAAAAATGACCAGAGGGATGGAACACCTCTCCTATGAGGAAAGGCTGAGAAAGTTGGGATTATTCAGCCTGGAGAAGAGAAGGCTCCAGGAAGACCTTTTTGCAGCCTTCCAGTACTTCAAGGGGGCTTATAAGACAGATGGGGACAGACATTTAGGAGCACCTGTAGCAACAGGCCAAGGGGTAATGGTTTTCAATTAAAAGAGAGTAGATTTAGGCTAGATATAAGGAGGAAATTTTTCATAATGAGGGTGGTGAACCACTGGCACAGGCTGCCCAGAGAGGTGGTAGATGCCCCATCCCTGGAAATATTCCAGGTCAGATTGGAGGAGGCTCTGAGCAACCTGGTCTAGTTGAAGATGTCCCTGCTCACTGCTGGGGGGGGTTGGACTAGATGACCTTTAAAGGTCTCTTCCAACCCAAAGTTTCTATGATTCTATGCCTTTGCCCAGCCTGGTCTTGAAATCTCTGAGGATGGAGACTACACAACCTCTCTCGGCAACCAACTCCACCACCGGCCTGTCCTCAGTGTGAAGAAGATTTTCCTTTTTCCTTCCAGTCTAAATCTCTCATTTCAGCTTCTGCCTGTTGTCTCCCCCCCTCCTGTCATGCACCACTGTGAAGACCTTGGCTCTGTCTTTTGATAACCTCCTTGTAGATAACTCTTCGAAACCTTTTCTTCTTCAGGCTGAGCAAGCCCTAGTCCCTCAGTATTTCCCCACTTCTCTTAAGACTAGGCATCTTCACACAGATGGGCAGGATCTGCCCCCAGTGACTGCTCTGAAGTAGCCCAAATACCACCAACACTAACATGCCTTGAGAACTTCTGTTTTAGCTCCTGAGCATTCTGGTTGAATGTTGCATGTTTTAGCCTTCATATTTTTACTACAAAAGCTATCTTTTCATTGGGATGAAATGGAATCAGTTATGATTTTTTATACTGTATTCTTGGAACAAAGACCATTCATAATTATTCAAACCCCCTGTAGCAAAGGACAATTCCTTGTAGATTCAAACTGGCTTTTCTGTTAAATAAAACTGATGTTAGTTTATTTGTTATTATTTCATCTATCACTCTACAAAATGTGTCATGGTCTCATATGAAACCACTCAGCCAGAACAGTATAATCATTCTCCTTTCAGTCAGGTTGTCAGCAAGTATTAATACTTAAACCTTCAAGGATTCAGAGCTACACCGCTTTATGCTAAGTGTGAAGATGATGCTATGCATCAGGGGAATTTCCAAAATTAAAACTAGGAGGGCCACAGCCTGTTTTAAACATGATAGACATAACAGATTGGCTTTAGATCTTTATATTCCAAAATAATTTGCATTTTACATCAGTTGAAAGGTAGCTCATCCATTCTTAATAGCACAGTTATGGCAGATGGCAACAGGCCACCTTGAGTTATTTATTAGGTTGCCTGCTGTGACTTTATCACTACCATTCAGAAGGTTGATGATTTAACTGTGCTGGACTGCAGGTTTGAGTCTGTCGTGGTGGATAACTATTCAGGACAAGGCTGTGAGCACCATGACATAGATTTGTCAGTCACTACTTGACACCCTTGTATCACTGCCAGTGCAATGGAAAGCACACAGAGTGCAGTGGAAGCCAGGGAAGAGCACAAAACTACACATAATTGTCACCATTTAATCTGTGTTCAACTACACCACATTTCCAATTATTGCTCTAACAAAACAAGTACATATCTGTGATGCTCTTGCTAAGATGATCTCCTCCTTATGAAGCGTAGGGACTCTTCAGAATTAGTGAGTAACTTTCAATGACATTTTAATGGCATCATGGACCAAGTAAGACTTTAATTTTAACAGCGCATTTCACTGATATTGAGTTACAACAGAACTCCCATGGAAGTATATATGACATTTACATAGACAGTAGGTTAATTCACTATGACCATTGCTAGTTCCATCAGTACCAGATTAATTATGTCCCTGAGCTCCTTATCATGAAGTATAAACAAACACTGATGCAATTATGCTAATTAACTCAGATTAAAGGCGGCCAATACACTTATAGTATGCAGTTGAGTGTGCTTCTCCATGGATACTTTAAATTGATTTGTCATTTAGTTTTATAGCTCAACCATCAAATCTCCAAGTCTAGGTGCAATGTTTTGTGATGTTTATGATGATTAGAGGAATCATAGAATAGCTTGGGCTGGCAGGGACCTTTTAAGGTCATCTAGTCCAAACCCCCTGCAGTGAGCAGGGACATCTTCAACTAGATCAGGTTGCTCAGAGCCCCGTCCAACCTGACCTTGAATGTTTCCAAGGATGGGGCATCTACCACCTCTCTGGGCAACCTGTCCAGGAAATCGTGAATCAAGTTTAAAGAAAACAACAGTGTACCTCTTAACTTGTATCCCCTCTCCTCAGGGATTCCCCACATAATCAGTTGCCTTTGCACACTTCTGAGCTGTCATTTTGATGTTCATTCTAAAACTAGGTAACAAGCTATTGTCAACGGATTGCCAAAGCTTGAATCCCCTGCTAAGTATATCAACTCTATACTATTAGCATTCTTTTACTTTTATTGTCATAAATAGTAAAAGCGTGATTATGGGGACTTTCCTTTCCTAAATGTTGATTTGCTTTTAAAGTAAATAATTTGTTTGATTAATTAGATGGGATTCTTAGATCATAAACTCAGCTTCCAAACTGAAATAGGAAAATGCAAGCCACTGCATAGCAAAACACAGTAAGCGCTCCATTGTGCGTGATGCTACCTAAACTTGTCTAAAAGACACATCTGCTATATTCCACCAAGACTAGTTGGAAAGCAATTAACCATTTGCATACAGAAATGCTCCCTTTGGAAATGAGTTTATGAGGTGTAATACGCACTGCAAGTACTTTTTTAGTTTTTAGGGGTTTTTTTAGGTTCCATTTTCTTCCTTTGTCATTCATTGAAAAGGCTCATTTATTTGTCCCAGTGTTGCACTGAATCTTAGAGCTGGAACCCAATTATTGTTTTACTTCATGGCTGCCTGAATAATTATCTTATGGCAGTCATATGCTTAAACTAATGGTGCAATGATGGCATAATACAGCAATGGTATATAGATCATTTAAGAAAGGTTACGAAGCATGTGTTTCAACCTTTGGCAGTAACTGGCAGAAAAGTCACAAACATTGGCTCCTGTGAAACTTTGTGCAAGCCTCCCCAAACACTGGTTGTCTCCACATCTCCTTCAGCAACTATCTTCAATGAGGTGAAGTGTTTTCTTACCTATTTGCCAATCCCAGGGAACTTTCAATAGCTCTTTGTGTTCCATGATTGCACTATAAGAGAAGAGAAGGCAAAATTTGATGGAAGAGAACAGAAGTGAAATTAATTCCACTTACTCATTTCAAATGCTGGACAAAACAACATAAATAACCTTATAACAAAAAATCTCTGTAGGAACCAAATGCAATCAGACTTTGCTAATCCACTCTGGCATTATCGCTGTGCCCGTGTATTTGAAAGATCTTCAGGGCAGTAATCACATGTGATAGCATACAATTTCCACTGGTTTATTTTCAGCTCTCTAAGTACCTGCCCAAAGTGCCCATCCCCGCCATGTTCAATCCTCTTGTACTCTTCTGACTTAATATTCTGAAAGCTTTTGAACTTTAATGATTAATAATGTACCTGCCTGAGTTATTCACCCTTCAGAGCGGCTCTGCAGTGTCAAATAAATAGATATCACAGGCTGGCTTTGGGGACATTACTGTGTTTTGTTACCCACTGAGAGAAATCAAATAGTCACAGCAATGAAACTCAGGAAATAAAGCAAAGGATGGGCCAAGCTGCAGAATTCCACTTTCAACATCTTATAAGTCTTGCATTGCACATTAACATCAAAATCCTAGATCCAGAAAATTCTAAAGTGGCAACAAGTCAGCTCTTCCCAATACAGGCAAATAGACCCTTGGAGTCTATCCATAGTCTATAGACCTAGCTATCTCACAAGTTAGATCTTCACTCAGCTAACCACTTTCTTTGATCTGTGATTTCCAGATAACTCTTGCTGTGCAGAGCTCTGCATGCTAGTCTGGACACTATTTTAAACAAGTATAAAACATGGAATTACACAGACTGAAAAACAAAGTACCTAGTACAAAAGGTGGTATGTGGAAGACCAAGTCTAATAGTGAAACTGCAGGAACTCAGTGCCTTCCAGATTAATCAGGTCTAGAGAGTTGCATCCTGGAAATTCTAATTTGCTTGCTGCTGATGTGTGGCAAATCTAATACTGTGTGCAGAACAGTGAGATTATTTTGTCTGCAAAATAACTAAATTGTAAGTGTCTTTGCATGCATAAGGCATATGTCTCTTTTATCAGCAATTCTTGAAGAATATAATGAAAAAAACCTGCAAAATCTCTTGTTCTGGCAAACAAATTTTGATATAATTTAAATGTAGGAACATTGCTTTCATACTACTGCCTATCCAACACAAAACAAGTATAAAACAATATGCTATGGTCTGTGATTCATTATGATCTGTGAAACAAAGAGGGGTGAGAGCAACTTCGACAGAAGTTGCCATTTAGTGATGCCAGATTCACTGAAGAATTTGAACCACAATGATCTTTAAAAGGTTGTGGTGATTGGAGGAGGTCCCTGATGACTGAAAAGAGACAAATGCAACATCCAGTTTCAAAAAGAGCAAAAACTATAGCCTTGCTAGCTTTACGCTAACCTTTGGGAAGATTATGGACAAATCTTCCCAGAAGCCATTTGCAGGAAATGAAGAAGACATGACTGGAAAAAGCCAGCACAGACTTCTCAAGAGCAAACCATACCTGAGCAAACTGACTGCCTTCTGTGATGAGATGACTGGCTCAGTAAATACAGGAGAGAGAATGGATGAGGGGATGAGGTGTAACCTTGACTTTAGCACAGCTTCCAACATGATTTCCTGAAAGATTGTTAAAGACTGTAGAGTTATGGACTGGATGGGTGGACTACCCACAATGCAGTCTGAAGAAAAGGGCCAAGAGAAACCTGGTGAAGTTCAAGAAAAGCAAATATGAACTCCTGCAACTGGGGTGGAATAACCCTATGCAACAGTACAGGCTGGGAGCTGACTGGATAGAAAGCTGCTTTTCAAAAATAAACCTTGGAGTCCTGGTGGACATCAACCCGGACATGAGTCAGCAATGTGTGCCTGGAGTAGAGAAGGCCAACAGCATCCCAGACTATGTTAGTAAAAGTCTGGACAGCAAGTCGAAGGACATGTTTTGTGAGACAGCAACTGGAGTACTGTATCCAATTTTGGGCTGCCCAGAATAAGACACACGTTGACAAATTGGAGGGAGTACAGTGGAACTCCTGGTTCAGGCAGCTGGAGCACATGAGGAAATGCTGAAATAGCAGGATTTGTTCAGTGTGAAGAAGAGAAGGGATTATTTGATGGGGGAAAGGAGGATGGGAAAATAAATTTGCTATCTTAACTACCTAATGGGTAGTTACAGAAAAGATAGAGTCAGACTTTTCTTGGAGGTACACAACAAAAGGATGAATTACAATGGCCACAAGTTGCAATGTGGGAAACTCTGATTAAGTATAAGAAAAAAAAGTATTGGTCAAACACTGGAACAGGTTTCCCAGCAAAACTGGCATTTCAGTTCTTGGAGATATTAAGAAGTCAACAGTACAAGTTCCTGAGCAACCTGATGTAACTTTGAAAGTTAACTTTGAGTAGGAGCTTGAACCAGATGACCTTCAGGGGTCCATTACAAAGTAGGTTATTCTATGATTATGTGATTCCATCAGACAGCATTATCTCCATTTGCTGGGTAGCTGTTACATCTCCAACTCTCATCAACTAATTTCTTCTCTTGTTTTGATATACAGTTCCTCCCTGCTTTAATCACATTAAATCCACCAAACTTCTCTTTCCACCACACCAGGGTAGTTAGCCAACTCTTTACTTCACTGTTTGCCCTGACACCTTAGCCCTTCATTTTCTGTCCAACAGGAATTATCTGGGTTTATTTTACCTTACAGTCTAACATTAAACACTCTTGCTAAACTGTTCTAGAAAACAACAGCCTACTTCTTGAAAAGTCCTCTTGGAGACACAGCCCTGTACTAGAGCTGAAGCATGAACCAACATGAGTCACCCACACTTATGTAGATATTTGTAAATACCCATGGAATAAAAGGCAAATACTACAGCTTTTTGCTACTATATTAGTCTGAGATCAGTGCATGACAATAAAGGGGGTGGGTGGGTACTGTTTTGTCTTTCCTACATTCAGCATAGTCATACACACTTTTTGGTATCTTCCCTTCTTCAGAATTGTACTGCTCCCTATAAATCCTATCAACGTAAGACTTAAACCTCCAGCAGTATTAGCACACATATTCATCATCCTCAATCACTTTGTGGATGCCAACCAAACTTTGACCAGTCCTGTGTCTAGCATGCTGGGAAATGGCCCTATTTCTGAGACATTCCTTCTCCAGACTACTTCAGTAGACCTAAAGGTCCTATATTGCACCAAAGTGTAACATGGGGAGCTGGCTTCTCTTTGAAACAATTGGTATATTTAGTTAGATTAAACCTCTGTGAACACACAACTATGTGATGTCTGCTCTTCATTACAGGTAAAGGTAAGAAAATGCTGAGTTGCTTCATGGAACCAAGTAGCAGAAACATTATTGGCCTCTCCCGATATGCAAGAAGGCCAGTGGAGAAAAACCTGCAGGAGAGAACTTCTGGGCCAAAGGTTGACTATAAAAACCTTAGGGCTTTCAGCAAAGAAATGGTTTCTTATTGTTTCTTTCCACTTGTGTCCTCTGTATACAAAGATGCCTACCACAAACCCTGAATTGTGACTAACTGCTTGGGTCAAGAGGGGATAATGGCACTATAATTACATTCAGGGATATGAGACATGTACATGACAGTTTACACACACAGAGCAAACCAAGGGCACTGCTTTGATGCTCTCAGAATCAGTTAGTACCTACCTATCATGAACACTGTAGGTAACAAAAATGCTTTAGCCAAAGGTACTAGGCACATTTACGAGCTCTTGAATTCTGTATTTTTAAAAAAGGAACTGCTTGTGTGGCAGCTAGTTAAAATAAAAATATTAAGTCACATGTTCAGATCCCACATAAATATAATAAGCTCTCTGGCTAAAAAAACAGAACTAATTAAGTGGGAATTGATGGGTCATTGTTTTGAACAGTCTCTGTTCTTAGAAGCTGAGTAGCTCCGATATGCAGGGAAGCAACTTGGTTTTGACTAATAATCAAAAGTTATTCTGTGTGACATGCACCAGTAACAGATCTGCATAAAACTTGTCAATCTTGCATGGTGACTTTTACTGCACTTTCATCAGTCATAGTATTATAACACTGGAAGCTATCTTCCAACTCTCAGGCTTGCAGGTGAGGTGCTTAGATATGACTCAGTAGTTCTTGAAATCCATGCGACAATCTCCTGAGTACTAAATATTTTGAAGAGAAAACACCAGTTTCTTAGAGGCTTTTTCCTTATTTCTGCCATATCATAATGTAGTTACACAGAATGAGCCAATCAGTAAAATACCTTCTGACTGGATGTGTTTTGTACCTGTTTAGAAATCTAAGTGGCTTTTTAAAAATTATGAAACAGAAGAGTTGTAGATTTTGTTATTCACAGATCAGACTGACACATGAAGTATCCACTTGTCTTCCAGCAACAAGATGGTAGGATGTGTCTTCTACTCCTCCTTCCCCACGTGACTATTCAAAGACACCAGTCACAGAACGATAGAATGGTTTGGGCTGGAAGGGACCTTAAAGATCACCTAGTTCCAGCCCCACTGCCATGGGCAGGGACACTTTCCACTAGATCAGGTTGCTCAAAGCCTCATCCAACCTGGCCTTGAACATTCCCAGGGAGGAGGCATCCACAGCTTCTCTGGGCAACCTGTTCCAGTGTCTCACCACGCTCATAGTGAAGAATTTCTTCCTAATATCTAATCTAAATCTCCCCTCTTTCAGTTTTTAAAACCATTACTCCTCATCCTATCACTACATTCTTCCATAAAAAGTCCCTCCCCATTTTTCCTGTAGCCCCCTTGAATTACTTAGATACAAATTTGTGTTATTCAAATCCATTGATCTGAAATATAAAAAACAATGCAAATTCTGAATTAGAGGACACCTACTCTCCACAGGAAATGGCTACCTTTGAAGAGAGGGTTAGAGTACCTCAATGGAGGCCACAGCTGCACTTATTTGAATGACCTTGGGGCTCAAACCTGCTCACTTACAGTTGAATTCCACTGAAGAAGGAGCCAAAGAGTCCAATCATGCCCAGGAATTCCACTCGACTCAGATTTCGGACAATATACTCCTCACAAACGTTTGAGATGCCGTATAGCGTTGCTCCGCCCAATACTAAGAGATCCCCTATGAGTTTATTTTCACCTAGGAATAAACGGGAAAAATCAGAATGTCTCAAAACAACCATATTTTGCCTAGAACCATTGAAAATTCCTCCCTGTAGATTTCAATTCTCAGTCGCTAAGTAGCCCACATCTGGGTTAATAAGCTGAACACAAATGTTCTGTCATTTTAACAGTTTTCATTCAATACTCCAGCAAATTCTAGCAGAGGTGAAAGGAGAGCATTATCCTTGCTGTGGTAAGAGAATCTGAAAGTATCTGAAAAATTTGTAACAAAAATACAGAAACCAAGCGGCTCTCTTCAGTGACTAATCCTTTTTAATTTATTATTACTTTTTGTGCAGACAGAACGTGACTCAGCTATACAGAGCACTTTGCATCTTACCTATCATTGAAATCTAACCAGTCTAAAACATTGCCAGTATTTAGACGTGAAAAATACTGAAAAATTCCGTATACCTGTGAAATGAGTGAAGAAATCATTACAACCCCAATATTGACCTCATTCTCACATGAAGCTGGCTGACAAGAAAGAGAGGAGGAAGGATGGGGTGTAGACAGGGTGATGATAATGACAGATTTTTAAATGAGGTTCAATTAATATAGCAGTACCTAATGTATGCAATGAACACCAAGGTGTATTTTCAGTACCTCCAGGCATATATAGTTACTAAAACACTGCATTATCAAAGACTGTTTGAATATTTTTAAGTCTTGTAGGCTTTTATTATTGGGGGGCAGGGAGGGCTGCAGGGAGATTTGATCAAGATCAAGTTCCAGCTTTGCAAACCCATGCATGCGATATTCCCCCCGCACATATGGCTTGCTAAATGATTTCTACAAGAGCTATAGCTTCACAAAGCTGTCAGACATTGCTGCAGAACCATATTCCGAAAGGCTGGATATAACGGAATTTCCTTTGAAAAGGTTCAGTAGAAATGCTGATGTACAAGACTCTTTTGGGTTTTTTTTGAAAGAAACCTTGTTTTCTTTTAAAATACCTCTTAATTTATTTTTTGAGTTCTTGGCTTTTTAAGTTTTAGTATTATTGATTTGTACAATACACACTGCAGTAAATAAAAATGGAAGCCAAACATTCTGATTGGTTCAAAGTGATCTTTTCAGTATTTTTCTTTATGGAGTTCTTCTAAGTCTCCAGTTTTCATTCCAAACTACAGCGCTGAAGTTTCCAGTGAGAAAAAATTTATGAAAATAAGAACAGTCATAAGAGGACAGACCGAGGGTTCATTTATCCAGTATCCTGTCTCCAACACTGGCTATACGCACCAGAAAAGTATAAGTTGTTTAGGGACAAATAGGAAAGGGGTAAACGTTTAAATATTCCCAGTAATACTCTCTTAGTCTCCAACATTTTTCTGCTCAGAGGAGACGTGGCTTCAGTGCATTTAGCAAACATTACTAGATTTCTCTTTCATGTACTCATCCTGCCTCTCACTGAATTTCTGTTTTGCATGTAGCTTGACTGACAGCATGTTTATATTTGATGATTTATGTTTTTAAGATTTGGTACTTATTTTCCTTTTAGCCTTCTTTTGCAATCAACCACAGAAGATGCCCTTAATTTAAAATAAGCATCAGCACTTTACAAAACCTCTTCATACCCCTGATGCATTTGATGTTCCACGTGGCTCCAATCATCCCTCACTGAGCTCACTCATTTGATATTTATTACAGCTACTCACTGACACTTCGGGGAAGTACTGCTGAAAAAGCTTTTGACCTTAGAGCTTGGCTGTGCTGAACTGCTTGAGATAAAAATATAATTCTTTTGCATCTGCAAAACAAAGATGGCTCAAGGCTGAGTGTTTGCATAGAGATGAGATGGCCTCAAGCATGACACCACGATGGCTCTCCCCAAAGTGCACTCAGGTTTGGAGAGTGTGAGCCTCAACCTTCAGGGCTTTCCCAGAAAAGGAAGCCAAGATCTGGTCAGAGCACTGGCCTGCCTAGCCCAGCACCCTCCTGCGGCACTGGGAAGCACAGGATGGCTGAGGAAAGCATAAAGAAATAGGGAAGCACGGAGGGATTTTTATCAGCCAGTTCTCAGCAGATTAGGGATTTTATGAAATGGAAGTTGCATTAGACCATCGCATTTAACAGATCCTGAGGGATTCTTCATGAATTTGTGTAAAGTCCATATAGTTTTGGCCTCTACAACACCCTGTGGCAGTAAGTTACCCAGTTTAAGCATGCACTATTAAAAAGTACCTCAGGTTGCATGCACTATTAAAAAGTACTTCAGGCACAGGAAAGACATGGACCTATTGGAGAGGGTCCAGAGAAAGGCCACAAAAATGACCAGAGGGATGGAACTCCTCTCCTATGAGGAAAGGCTTAGAGAGTTGGTGATCTTCAGCCTGGAGAAGAGAAGGCTCCAGGGAGACCTTGTTGCAGCCTTCCAGTACTTCAAGGGGGCTTGTAAGAAAGATGGGGACAGACTTTTTAGCAGGGCTTGTTGTAATAGGACAAGGGGTAATAGTCTTAAACTGAAAGAGGGCAAATTCAGACCAGATAGAAGGAAGAAATTTTTCACAATGAGGGTGGTGCAACCCTGGCACAGGTTGCCCAGCGAGGTGGTAGATGCCCCATCCCTGGAAATATTCCAGGTCAGATTGGAGGAGGCTCTGAGCAACAGAGCTCAACATCTAGTTGAAGATGTCCCTGCTCACTGCTGGGAGGGGTTGGACTACATGACCTTTAAAGGTCTCTTCCAACCCAAAGATTCTATGATTCTATGTTTTTAGCTTTTAAGTGTGATTCCTCAAAATTATATTAGGCATTCCATAATTTTCTGGTTGTGAGAATCACTCTGTATTGACCCTGTCCATATCACTGAAGACTTTTCTAGTAGATGAAAAGTCCCAGACTGCCTACATTGTCTTCATCCTGAAGCCATTTTACACCCTTTAATATCTTTCTCACCTTTCTCCATTGCTTCTATAAGCTTATTTTCTGGTAATTTCTTTTTGAGATTCAGTGACCAGAGTAATACATGGTACTCAAGAGGCTAGTGCATCAAAACTGTAAATACTGGCATAAAAATGTTTTATACCCTATTTTTCGTTTCTTTCCTAATCATTCCTAGCATCCTGGTTGTCAAATGCCTTTTCTTTGCTTCCTCAAGAGGCTGACTTTGGACCTTTCCCCAAGACTGGCATATCATAATAGATACATTTTCATGGAAGTAGAATCCACATGCATCTACTGGTTTTATTGCTAAGGAAATATGTATCAATTGACGAGAGGCATTCTAAAGACTTTTAGGTTAATAGAGCCGTACTTGACCAATTTAATGGCAAAGGTCATTCTTCTGAAGAAACACAAGACATAGCTTGGCAAAAAAAAACCTTTGCATTAATCACTGTTAGCATATTCAATGTTCTTGGGAAGCAGAAGCCATACAGTCCAGAGAGACGTTTATGCTGTGGGGACTAGTTATAGCACTCAAGTGTAGCATATATCATTTAAATATGAATTATGTTCTGACATGATTGCTCTTCACACTCTCCCTAGGCCACTTGGCCACATTTTTACCTTAACCTCCAGCATTAAGAGGTATTTCTCTTTGCTTTGCTGGTTGTAATTACTGATGATCATAATATCTAAAGATCAGTCTCAATATGTCCCATCTTAGACTAAACATATTCTCATACACTTATAACAGGACTGAAGTGACTGGTTTTCAGAGACTGTGGTAAGCTAAAACTGTGAAAGACTTTGAAAAATCTGGATAAAACACTTAGACCCCTGTGTATTACAGGAGCACAAGTGCCAAGGTACTTCAGGGGTATTAGTTCAGAAAAATGTTATTTTAAGGTATAGTTGGCATGTAAGGTGATAGAGCACTAAGTACTTTATAGTAATTGCTTTTCTCATTGAGAAACGTGCAAAACTTCCATCAGGATACACCAAAAAAAGGTAAACTACCATATATTTATTGAAAGTTGAGAGCATGCCTGTACATTATACCTAATTCCTGAAGATAGTTTGGAAAATACCTGTTAATCTCTCAGTGCTGCATTTTAAATTTATGTTCCTGTACTGTAAGAGTTGGCAGGCTAGATTGCTGTATGTATTAGGTGCCTAGCAGAGCCTTATGGTGCTTCTAATACAGTAAATAGTACGGTCCACAGGGGCAAACAGGTGCCAACAGATACTGTCCCCTAAAATATAGGATAGACAGAGGAGTTTACTAAGGACTAATACAGCTTCACTGCTTTTGGTGTATTCCTTTTTTTGTTTGCCCAGTCCTAGGAAATAGCCTATAAATGGTGTGGAACCCCTTAATGAAGAGCTTCAAGAATTTTTTTTCTTTTACTGCCTATACTTTTATTTGTAGATTTTTAATGTATAGTTTTAGCCCTTCAGATAAATAAAACCACCTGATCTACTTTACTCTGTTAAAAACAACATCGTTGATAACATCATTTTTGCCACTTAAAAAAAACCATCTGCAATCTCTCTGTGTAGTAATAATCATGGACACAGTTTTTCATGTGTAATTCCAAATTAAAAGGCAATAATGCATGTTAACAGATTTTCCTGGAAAAATTTACCTAACAGCTATACCCGTGCTTTAGTAATGAATATGTCAAATGATATCTAATTATTGCAGTTGCATGGTCAAAATGTCAGTGTTCTTCAATCTGTTCCTTGCCCCTGTTGAGGTCCATTGCCCCACACGCTCCTGCTGATCCACAACTCACCTGCCCTAGCATGTTACTCTGTAGATTACTGGGACATAGAGTGTTTCCTCCGGAACCTAGGGTTGAAATCCCAATCCCTCTGAAATCAGTCATTCTTAAATGCAGCTTTGGCTGGATGATTTCATAATACAGAGTACATTATTTTCTTTTTATCTGGCGCAGAGCTATATCTGGAGGAGACCAATGACCTAAAAGTCTCCTTCTAGGGTAAAGGACAGGGATAAAAGGGGGCAGGGAGATATGGTGAGTACTGTTACAAACTCACTCGTTTTATTTAGTAGCATCCTGGCAACTGCAGTTCTTATAGAACTTGCATTTGTATTCAGAAAGCTGAGTCAAGAATTCTAAATCCCAGTGTATTATGCTCAGCTCACAATTCAGTGTTTTTAATTAAGAATGAAAACTGTGCCTAATTGACAATCTTTGAAAAGAATTTCCAGCCTTCCCACATCATTTGGGTTGGCACTAGAGAAATCAATGTGACAGAGGAAGCTGATCGATGCAATCTAACTCTGTCTAGTCTGCTTTAATAGCTACACACATTATTCATATGATGCCGCACATAAAAACGTTTTGCACACAAGACGGTTCTTTTCAACAATGACACAGACAAATCCCAAACCTTTACTCTGAGACTGTGTGCATAGGTTGGTTGTCTTTCAGCATCTACCCAGTGACCTCACCTCTGTGCAAAAACGGGGCAAAGTTGAGGAGAAGTAAGAGTACACAGCAGATGTGAGAGGTTCTTATGATTCAAAGATGTAGCCAATTTGGAAAGGAAGCAACTGAGGTTTGCAGTCAAACAACTGAGCCAAAACAGAAGGAAACTACAAGTATTTAGCTTGTCCCCCTGGCCCGCACAGAGGGTAATCTAGGTTACAGGCACAGGGCTCACCAAGTCTTTGCAGCAGGGCTGACTTCTAAGTGTTGACTCATTTTTGTTCTCCATCCCTTCTGACAGAGAGGCAACTTTGAATGGTGCAGCGCTCTGGATCCACGAAGGCACAAGTTTTCTTGCCGATTTTGCTGTTTTGTCCCAATCTGACATGTTCTGATCAATGGCTTCTCTGAGCAGAAATTGGTCATACAACACATCCATCCTTACTCACCTGCTCCTTGCTGTCTCCCAACGAGCACATCTGCTCCTGCCATGCATCCCATGCCCAGAATGCAGACCACGATCCCAATGAAATGTACTGCCTTGTATCGTACCAGTAGGAAGAACCAGGAGAGCAGTATCACCACAGGGATGACAAAACAGTCTAGGAGCTGTAAAGAAAGAGAGGAAAAATCAACAAATCAACGTGCTAACACTTTGCCCTAAAACACTAGGATAGATTCCAGCAAAGGGGAGCAAGGTTATTTAGTTAGTAATTGCACTTTCTACCAGACAGAAAGTGTATTCAAGTGGTTATGTCATCCATCAGACAGAGGATAAGACTGTATTCTGTTCATGACTATTCCATGAATTAAGGAAAGCTGTTGCTCTACGGTAACACTCAACAGCACTGCCTTGCTCTTGGATTTAGATGCATATTTCAAATCCGTGGGAAGGAAACCTGGGCCAAAAGAGAGCCACACCACTCCATCTGGTCCTCACCTCTGGTGATTAATGGACAAAGACTGAGGGCACTCTTCCTGCAGTCTAGACATATGCTTTAATTCAGTCATTTCAGGTCCAATTAGCAGGAA